AAGTACATTCACGTTGTTAAACTAAAATCACCACCATCCATCCACACAACTCTTCATCTTGCAAAACGGAAACCGTACCTATTAAACAATAACTTCTTTTTTTTTTTTTTGAGACGGAGTTTCGCTCTTGTTACCCAGGCTGGAGTGCAATGGCTCGATCTCGGCTCACCGCAACCTCCGCCTCCTGGGTTCAGGCAATTCTCCTGCCTCAGCCTCCTGAGTAGCTGGGACTACAGACACGCGCCACCATGCCCAGCTAATTTTTTTGTGGTTTTAGTAGAGACAGGGTTTCACCATGTTGACCAGGATGGTCTCGATCTCTTGATCTCGTGATCCACCCGCCTCGGCCTCCCAAAGTGCTGGGATTACAGGCTTGAGCCACCGCGCCCGGCCTAACAATAACTTCTTATTCTCTCTCTCATCCAGCACCTGGCAACCTCCATTCTACCTATCTTCTGTCTCTGATTCACTTCCTAAAAGAGTAGAATCATATAGTATTTGTACTTTTATGGCTGAATTTCACTTAGCTTAATATTCTGAAGGTTTATATTGTAGCATATGTCAGAATTTTCTTTTTAAGGCTAAATAATATTCCATTGTGTGTATATATCACATTTTGTTTATCACTTTGGCTTGCTTCCACCTTTTGACTGTTGCAAATAGTGCTGCTATGAAGATGGGTATACAAATATCTCCTTCAGTCACTGCTTTCAATTCTTTGGTGTTTATACCCAGAACTGGAATTTCTAGATCATGTGGTAATTCTATTTTAAATTTTTTGAGAAACTGCCATACTGTTTTCCATAGTGGTTGCAGCATTTTACATTCCCACCAATAGTGCACAAGGGTTCCAATTTATCCAAATCCGTGATGGCACTTGGTATTTTCTAGTTTTTTGTTAGTAGCCAAACTAATAATATTTCATTATGGTTATGATTTGCATTTCTCTAGTGATTAGTGGTGTTGAGTTTCTCTTCATGTGATTATTGGCCATTTGCATAGCCTCTTTGAAGAAATGTCCTTTGCCTATTTTTTTTTTTGAAACAGAGTCTTGCTCTCTTGCCCAGGCTGGAGTGCAGTGGCTTGAACACAGCTTACACTGCAGCCTCAACCTTTTGGGCTCCGGTGATCCTCTTACCTTAGCCTCGTGAGTAGTTGGGACCGCAGGCACATGCCGCCACATCTGGCTAAATTATTTTTTCCAACTTTTTGTAGAGACAAGGTCTCCCTATGTTGCCCAAGCTGGTCTCAAGCTCATGGGCTCAAGCGATCCTCCACCTTGGCCTCTCACAGTACAGAGATTACAGGCATGAACCACCTGCCCAGCCCCATTCCCCATTTTTGAATTGGATTTTTTGGTTGTGGTTGTTGAGTTATAAAGATGATTTGTCTTTTTACTCTCTTTGTTGTGTCATTTGATGCACAGAAGTTCTAAATTTTAAATGTCCAGTTTATATATTTTTTTATTCGTTGCCTGGGCTTTTGGTTCCATTTTCAAGAATTCATTGCCAAATCCAGTGTCACAAATTTTTTTTTTTTTTTTTAAATAGAGACCGGCTTTCACCATGTTGTCCAGGGTGGTCTTGATCTCTTGACCTTGTGATCCGCCTGCCTCTGCCTCCCAAAGTGCTGGGATTACAGGTGTGAGCCACCGCGCCCAGCCCTTTGATACATTTTGAATTAATTTTTGTATACGGTGTACAGTTAGGTCCAACTTCATTCTTTTGGATGTAGATGTCTAGTTTTCCCAGCAACATTTGTTTGAAAGACTGTTCTTATTGAGTGGACTTGGCATCCTTGTCAAAAATCATTTGACCAGGTATATGAGGGTTTGTTTCTGGTCTCTCTATTCTGTTTCATTGGTCTGTATGTCCATCTTATGCCAGTACCCCACTGTTGATGACTGAGCTTTGTATAAGTTTTAAAATCAGGAAGTATGAGTTCTACAACTTTGATCTTTTTCAAGATTGTTTTGGGTATTCAGAGTCTCTTTAGATTACATATAAATTTTAGAATGGATTTTTCTACTTCTGTAAAAAACATCATTGGGATTTGAGAAAGATTACATTTAATTTGTAGATTGCTTTGGATAGCATTGACAGCTTAATGATACTGTCTACCAATGCATGAACAGAGGATATCTTTTTATTTATTGCTGTCATCTGTAATTTCTTTCAGAAATATATGAGTGGTCCAGTTTCTCTGAATTCTCACTGTTTGGTAGTCACTATTTTTCATTTTATCTGTTCTAATACATGTATAGTAGTATCTCCTGGTTTTAATTTGCATTTTCATAATGGATAATGATGTTGAACAGGTAGTCATGGGACTTCTCTGCCATTTCTGAATCTTCTTTGACAAATTGTTTCTTCATACCTTTTGCCCATTTTCTAATTGGGTTATTTTTTACCACTGAGTTTTCAGAGTGCTTTATGTATTCCACATATGGTTCTTTTTCAGTTACATGGCTTGCAGATATTTTCTCCCAGTGGGTAGCTTGTCTTTTCATTCTCTCAGCAGAGTCTTTCATAGAGCAACACTTAAAAATTTTAATGAAGTCCACATTATCATTTTTTTCCCCTATGGATTACACTTTCTGGTGTCAAATATAAGAACTCTTCACCAAGTCCTAGGTCCTGAATATTTTCTTCCAAAAATTTTATAATTTTACGTTTGGATCTGTTGTGCTTTAATTTTTATATAGTGTATGAGGTTGAGGTTTATGTTTTTGCCTATGGATATCCAGTTATACTAGCCATACTTATTGAAAAGACGATCCATCCAACATTGAATTGTTTGTATACATTTGTTAATAATTAGTTAGTTGTACTTGTGTGGGTCTGTTTCTGGCTACCCTGTTCTGTTCCATTGATCTATGTCTGTCCCTTAGCCAGTACCACTGTCTTGATTATTTTAGCTATGCAGTAAATCTTGACATTATAGAGTGATTCCTCCCACTTTTTTTTTTTTTCCAAAAAAATTTTAAGCTATTCTAGTTCTTTTACCTTTCCTTATAAGTTGTATTTATTTTATTTTTAAGGGATGAGATCTCACTATATTGCCCAGGCTGGCCTCAAACTCCTAGACTCAAGTGATCTTCCCACCTTAGCCTCCTAGTAGCTGGGACTAAGACCTGTACCACTGTGCCTGGCTGATGTAAATTTTAGAATAATCTCTTCTACATCTATAAAAAATAGTGGATTTTTTTAGGAATGCGTTAAACTTAACACGTTGGAGAAAATTAATATCAGTGCTATGTTGAGGCTCCTAATCTATGATTAGATATGTCTATTTATTTAGATCTTCTCTAATTTCTTTAATCAGTGTTTTGTAGTTTTTAGCATGTAATTTCTATGTGTGTTATGTTAGGTTTGTACCTAGGTATTTAATTTTTAAAAGATTATAAATGGTATTATATTTTAAATTTTGGTTTCCTATAAAATTACAATTGTCCCAGCACTTTGGAAGGCCAAGGTGAGAGGATCACTTGCAGCTAGGAATTCAAGACCAGCCTAGGAAGGCATCAAAGTGAGACCCTGTCTCTCCAATATTTATATTCAGAATTAGCTTGTGTGGTGTCATGTGCCTGTAGTTTCAGCTACTTGGAAGGCTAAGGTAGGATGATCGCTTGAGCCCATGAATCCAGGAGCTAGAGATTGCAGTGAGCTATGATCACACTGCTGTACTCCAACCTGGACATCAGAGCAAGACCCTGTCTCTAAAAAAATTGCAATAGATTTTTATATGTTGATCTTGTATCTTGAGACCTCGTTGAACTCACTTATTGGTTCTAGGAATTTTGGTAGAACCCGTAAGATTTCCTACAGAGACCATCATGTCATCTACAAATAGGACATATCTGCAAATAGGAATAGTTTTTTTTCTTTCTTTTCAATCTGTGTGTTTACTTCCTTTTATTGCCTAGTTCTGTTGGCTAGAACTTCCAGTATTATATTAAATAGAAGTAGTGAGAGTAGACATGCTCATCTTCTTCCTCACCTTAGAAGAAAAACATTCAGACTTTGACTGTTTGTAATTTTTAAAAAAAATTACAAACTTTGCTTGGTGGGTTTTTTAGATGATCTTTATCAAGTTGAGGAAACTATTCCTAGTTTTCTGAGTGTTTTCTTTTTTTTCTTTTTGATGCATAATAGATAAACATATTTTCAAGTTACAGTCATATGATTTGTAAAGATCAAATTAGTGTAATTGGGATATCCATCAATTCTGAGTGTTTTTATTATGAATGGGTACTTTTATTAAATGATTTTTCTGCATTTGTTTTTTGGTTGTGTGATTTTTCTTCTTTAGCCTGTTAATATAAGGATTGCATTGATTGATTCATGAATAATGAACCAGTCTCCAGTATCGCTATGGTAAATTCCACTTAGTCCTAGTAAATAGTTGTTTTATATGTTGCTGAATTTTATTTACTATATTTCGTTAAGGATGTTTACATTTAATTTTTTTTTTAAAGCCGGGCATGATGGTGCACGCCTGTAATCCCAGCTACTCAGGAGGCTGAGGAGGGAGGATTGCTTGAGCCTAGGAGTTCAAGTCCAGCCTAGGCAACATTAATGAGACCCCATCTCTTAAAAAAAAAAAAAAAGAAAAAAAGGCTGGAGGCTGGGCACGGTGGCTTGTACCTGTAATCCCAGCACTTTGGGAGGCCAAGGTGGGTGAATCACCTGATGTCGAGAGTTCGAGACCAGCCTAACCAACATAGAGAAACCCTGTCTCTACCAAAAATATGAAATTAGCCATTCCTGTAATCTGAGCTACTCGGGAGGCTGAGGCAAGAGAATCGCTTGAACCAGAAGGCAGGGGTTGTGGTAAGCTGAGATCACACCATTGCACTCCAGCATGGGCAACAAGAGTGAAACTCCGTCTCAAAAACAAAAAAGGGCAGGATGTTTACATCTATATTCATGATGGATTTTGGTTTGTAGGTTTCTTTCTCTTTTTGATACTTTTTGTTTTTGTTTGATGATTAAAGGGGAACCACTTAGACTGCGTCCTCTCCTTACTCTCCCAAAAGAAGAAAACAGTCATCAGCGGCAAATGGCAGTTGCAGCAAAGCAACATCGAAAGCCGACTTTATGCTCAGGAGAGAACACTGTGCTTCCTTCTTGTGGTTTCTAGTGCTCTACTCATTCAGAGAGACTTCTCTAATAACGAACTATAGGAATAATTCCTGAAAGCATAGTCTTTGGTACTGTCTTTGTCTAGTTTTGGTATCACATGGAAGTCTGTGAAACTTCATGGAAAATAGTGATGAAGACCACTAAGTCATGGAGTGAACGAGTTGGGACATAGGAACATCAGAAAGAATCCAGTGGGGCAGCTGGATGTGGTGACGCATGGCTGTAATCCCAGCACTTTGAGTCTGAGGTGGGTGGATCACTTGAGGTCAGGAGTTTGAGACCAGCCTGGCCAATAAGGTGAAACCCTCTCTCTACTAAAAAGCACAAAAATTAGCCAGGCGTCGTGGTGCACTTGGGAGACTGAGGCATGAGAATTGCTTGAACCTAGGAGGCGGAGGTTGCCATGAGTTGAGATTGCACCACTGCACTCCAGCCTGGGTGACACAGCAAGAGTCCATCTCAAAAAAAAAAGAATTCAGGAGTTATCAAAGAGAAATAGTGTTGTTTGGCTGTAAATATTGTTTTGAGGTAAGTGTAAGGCAGTGTACCGGAAGAGATTCAGTAGGAATGGGGACGACTCCTGGCTTCATGAGCGGAAGAATTAGTGTAGTTGATTTGTAGAGGCTCTTAGTTAATAATGATGTGGTAGGACTGGGATTATATTGACTATAGAGAAAATGTTAAATATAAGAATGTTAGGAATCCAGGCGCAGTGGCTCACGCCTGTAATCCCAGCACTTTGGGAGGCTGAGGCAGGTGGATCACCTGAGGTCAGGAGTTTGAGACCAGCCTGGCCAACATGGAAAAACTCTATCCCTACTAAAATACAAAAATTAGCTGGATGTGGTGGTATGTGCCTGTAATCCCAGCTACTTGAGAGGCTGAGGTGGGAGAATCACTTGAACTGGGAGGCAGAGGTTGCAGTGAGCCAAGATCACTCCACTGCACTCCAGCCTGGGCCACAGAGCGAGACTTCGTCTCAAAAAAAAAAAAAAGAGTGTTAGAGAATGAATAATGAATAGTGGAGGCAGATCCTGGACCTGGAGATGATGAGACCAGATGCAAGGATTAGTCTTGAACAGGAAATTGGGCGCCTCTCTCTGGAGCTTCTGGGAAGGAGGGGGTGGATATGGAGAGAATGGGGTCCTTAGAAATAATATGAATGCCTGGGAGTGCCTCACATTTTGCTTGAGCAAAGGGATATCCATCTAGGGCTGAAGAAATAATAGGTCTGCATGGAAATGGATGCAAGTATTTTCTGCTGACACTCCATGTATGGGTAGCTGTGAGGATGAATTTGTGCTTTGTTTAGGTCCTCAGGCCAGTTTGGAGGTTTAGTTCGCATTTGTTTTTGAGACAGACTGATGAGTACCACAGGTGGGGTGATCAGTGTGGAAACTCTTCTTTGAAAAATCTTCAAAAATGAAAAGTCATTGGAAGTTCTTGGAGTCAGCTGCTGAGGCTTAATCCTTTGCACCATTGACCATTAGAGATGAACTTTGGCTTCATCCTCTGTTGGGCCAGAGAGCCACTGACCATCTAGTTTGTAATCAGGAGGTCAGATTTAATCTTCAGACCAATTCTGCACAATCTCTTCCAGAAAATAAAAGAGAAAGAAACCTTCCCAATTCATTTTATGGTTCTGGTACCAGAATCAGACAAGAATCAATTGCCATTCCTAGCATAGTCATTTCTCTTCCTCATGCCTACCTTGTAGGACACAGGATGCTGCTCTTCTCATGGGGCTGTCCTGGAACTCAGGGGACCATTTTCTGTTCTTGTTGCAGCTGCAGCCGACTTCGGCAGGTTCAGAGCATCCTGACCCAGAGCAGCAAGTCTCGGCCAGATGGGATCCTCTGCATCCTAGGTCAGTGCTTTTAACAAGGTGGGACTCAGGGCTGGAGCAACTTGGCTTTTTTTGTTCACAGGAAGGTATTAGTGATAGTACCAATGTGAAATAAGCTGTGAGTTAGTGTCTTTCTAGTTCTTGTTCCCCTGAAATTTGTTGCTGTTTTAATGAGGTTAGATGAGCTATCAGTGAGATAGGAAGCCCATTTTTGGAGCTACTTCTGCCTTAAGCCCTTCCTCTAGCCTCACATATATAGCTTCCTCCTGCCATGACACGTCCCTCTTGTCCAAAGCCTACTCTGAGACTTCACAGACATCAGGAACCAGGTAATAAATATATATCTGAAGCATTGAGAGATGATAGTGAAGACAGTATTATTTAATTTTCTTTTTATTTGTCTCTAATTCTGACCCACTAGACTGTAAGCTTCATGAGGGTCATTTTCAGGCATATTTACTACCATACCCCAGCATCCAGTACAGTGCTACACCTCATATTTGTGAAGTGATAAGTGTTTGTAATTCCACTCACTTGTCCTCGTCTTCACATTATTGGGTTCTTTTTAAGCCTCCTTAATCTGCTTTTGTTTGATCCCACATGTTTTGGTAAAGATCTCTTTGAAAGGTGAATATTTTTCTGACCCCTATTCTTAAGCCAACTGAAAGTATTCAAGATGAACCCTTTTCAGAAATTAACAGCCTCAATAACCTGTGCTGTTTGATTGTCTTAATTACAAGATGCTGGAATTCAACTAAAGGTACTGGATGCTGAGGCCTGTTTCTTTCACAGAATTGCTTAACTTGGTTTCTGGCACAAAACTGGTCTGAGCTGTGTCGTTCAGCTTGATCATCAGGGTTTTGGTGAGCAGGACCTAATTATTGGCTCATTTGCTCCCTATAGTACAGTACAGCTGATCAGAGCCTCCTTCACCTTGCAGGAATCGATAGCAGGTACAATGAAGGCTGCAGAGAGCTGGCAAATTATCTCCTATTTGGTTTGTACAATCAGAATACCAGTGATTTTGAGAAAACGGGATTTTCTGAAGAAGTGCTAGATGGTAAGTATATATTGGTAAACTCTGTTTGATAGAAGAGTAAGAGGTTTATTTCCTTGGATCCTTATTTTATGGTCTTTTTATGGAAAAAAGTTTAAAATGGTCCAAAGCACCAGTAAATGTTTGCCTTTTAAAGAATGAGAAAAACAGCATTTTTTGTTTGCTGACACATTAAGTAGCAAGAAATATTTTTCAGAATGTATTTACTAATTCAGCTTTAGAGAAACAAGTAAACATCAGTGTTTGGCTTTATTTTTTTTTTTTGGCAAATTACTGGTTTTCCTCTTAATTGCCCACTGCCTCTACATGCTCAAGGTTCAGATTACATGCTGTTGTCCTGTGAAAGCCCCTTCAGTTGTGAGGTAAGGATGGGCCTGCAGGCAGCTCCTACAAGGAAGACTTCTTGTGGCTTATCAGCCAAGGAACAAAGGCTCTTTGTCCTGCTGTCTTTGGGAATTGTTTTCTCTATGACTTCAATTCATGAAGACGCCTGTGACCACAATGCTGGACTTCTGTTTACATTCCCCTTTCCTTAGCACTGAGACACCTTGCCTGTGTTGATATTGCAGGGGGCTGTTGCCCAGGAGCTATCTCTGATATCACAAATTTAGAATCATGCCTTGTATGCCAGATGGGTCAGGAGACACTGGAATAGACAAATAAAAGTAAAGGACAGACAGACAGCTCTTGTGAGGCAGCTGGGGAAGGCATGAAAACAAACATCTGATGTGGAATAATATTGCTCTGTGTCTAGTGCAGTAGTTCTCAACCGGGGACAGTTTTGTCCTGCAGGGGACATTTGGCAATGTCTGAAGACATTTTGATTATCAAAACTGGGTGGGATATGCCACAGGCATCTAGTGGGTAGAGGCCAGAGATGATGCTAAACATCTACAGTGCATAGGACAGTCACCCAGAACAGGGAATTCACAGATCTAAACTGTCAGTAGTACTAAGGTTGAGAAATCCTGGTCTAGTGTATATGAAAATTCTTCTCTAGTTAAGTCCTTAATAGCGTTTATTCTTTATTTTATTTTATTTCTCTAATAGTGTTTATTCTTATAGACTGATTATAGCTTTCCTTTTTGTTAGGAAGTGCAAAAAGAGTTTACTGAAATTACTCCTTCCATTAAATTTTTTAAAACTCAAATTTGGTTTCAGATTTTGATTACAAAATATTTTTTCCTTATATTGTACAGCATCTGCTGGTTTTAAAAAAAGTAATCTTGGCAGCTGATACCAGTTACACACTTTACCAGTCAAGGTTGCTAAGGACATTACAGTACTGAAATTAAGGAAATAGTTTAAATCCTCAAAGGTGTGCTTTTTTGCTTATCTTTGTTTTTGTCTTTTTTTTTTTTTTTTGAGACAGCCTTGCTCTGTTGCCCAGGCTGGAGTGTAGTGGTGCGATGTTGGCTCTCTGCAACCTCCACCTCCTGGGTTCAGGAGATTCTCCTGTCTCAGCCTCTCAAGTAGCTGGGACTACAGATATGCGCCACCACGCTCAGCTAATTTTTGATTTTTTTTTTTTTTTTTTGGGATGGAATCATGCTCTGTCACCCAGGCTGGAGAGCAGTGGCACAATCTTGGCTCACTGCAACCTCTACCTTCCGGGTTCAAGCGATTCTTCTGCCTCAGCCTACGCAGTAGGTTGGACTACAGGCATGCACCACCACGCCCGGCTAATTTTTGTATTTTTAGTAGAGATGGGGTTTCACCATATTGGCCAGACTGGTCTCAAACTTCTGATCTCATGATCAACCCGCCTCAGATTCCAAATGTGCTGGGATTAATTTTTGAGTTTTTAGTAGAGTTGGGGTTTCTCCATGTTGGCCAGGCTGGTCTCAAACTCCTGACTTCACGAGATCTACCCACCTCGGCCTCCCAAAGTGCTGAGATTACAGGCGTGAACCACTGTGCCTGGCCTGTTTTTATCTTTTTACCTGGCATAGTGGGTGCTTAGGAAATAATCATTATCCTACAAATTAATAAATTTGTTTATACAAGTAGAAAGCAGAGATCACCAGATTTTTACATTTTGATCTCATGAGAGGGGGAAAAGCTAATATGAATTTATTTCTAAAAGCAACATTTATTTATTTATTTTATTTTTTGAGATGAGCCTTGCTCTGTCACCCAGGCTAGAGTGCAATGCTGTGATCT